GCGACATAAGAATGTGAATAAGGAATGAATCTGCATCGTCTGCACAACGTTTACAGTCTTTCAACAAAGAAGTTCAGTACTCGTCAAATAAACCTTTATAACTGTTGACATTTGCACGATGTCTCTTCGAATAGGTAAGATATAGAATAGAAAAGTAAAGGACGACAAATATATTTGATGAATTAATTAATACAAAAATAATCTCAAATTTTCTTGTGTATACTCGACTGCGGACTGAGGAGTCCTAAAATTTCATATCAATTATTAAGTTTTCCTACTCCCTTAATGCAGTTTGGATTATAAGATTTTATTTCATTCGATTTTGAATTTAAGATTCCAACTTTTATAATCCTTTACAGAAAGCATACTTGACCATAGCTTTTTCTTTCAGTTTTACTTATACAGTACACAGAGCTGTGTAAATGTTTAAAATGAATTGCAGAGGTCATTTAAGTTAACAATACTGGCATTTTGACCATTTTATATTGTACATATCTCTCCACAATAATATGGACAGAAATGTGAGAATAATCTCACTCTTAACTGTCTATTTACCATGTAGAAAACAACTTCTGTCAATAGGTCAGAAATCAATCAAACACAAACAGAAAAACCATTGTTCAAAATTAAAGCGTTTTTGAAATGGAGAACTGAAATAAAATCCGTTTTAGTTTGCATAAAATTGATAAGATAATAAATGTAGATTCTATGCGTATCTTAAGTAAAAGTTCTGCTAATTATTTACTATGAAACCAAATGACGGACAGCGAATCATGGCGAGATTTGATGAAGCAAACACCTTATTTACTGTCTATATAAGAATGCGGACTAACATTTCTTCCAGAACAAAGTTTTGCGTTAACTTAATGAACGTCTATTTGAGTTTCCAAACATTTGCTCCGTTGTCCATTTAATAAATTCGCTTTCATGACATTAGACTTGTCATGTCATCTTCGTATGAAACGAGTATAAAGTGAAATATAACATACATTAAATGTTTCATTTTCCAAGCAGAACACTGATACATATTTTTTGACTTAGTGCAAGCCACTTGGATTCTTACTCACAATCCCTGTATTATCCCAATACACTAATTGTTGATTCAGTCTCTGATTTTTCAAGGATGTGGAACATTATAACGCCGGTAATAAAAAGTATTCAGTTGCTTAAAAACGTTAAACGATTTACAAGCACTGCATAGTGCACATACTAGTGCACTGGCATAGTGGGTCTAAATAGTAGACAAATAGAAAAGAGGACACTATTTAAAAATTTGCATAAGCATACATTCATTAGTCACAAAATAATTCTGTATAGAGCATACGGGACGCACTACACCCCAGTGGAGTGGAAACTCATTTCTATACATAGCAACGTTCTGTGCTCACTTGGCCTGGCAAATGTTACTAAAACCATGCATAAAGGAAAGGTGCACTCTCCATGGATGAGACGACAACAGCTCGATTGATAAAATGGGTTTGCGAAAACTGAAGCTGACAAATACTGCGGATTCTATTCAACCGGTAACATTATTCCAGTGAAGGATTGGCTTTTTGCTTATGTATGTTACTAACGAGAAAGCAGCTCACCTTATGATACCTTATGGTAGTGACCACCGTCGCCAATTGTTTGCTATTATTATGAACAGTAAAAACGCTGACGACCTTAAGTAGAAATCTCCTAAATAGAATCTTCTACAAGTTTTTGAAGCTAGCTTAAGTGCCGAGTATTGATCTATCAACATTGTAGCAATATAAACTGTTTGTAAAAACCTTGGCAATCAATATACATATTTGGCTTGTCTACGGGCTTAGATAGATTCAAACTTTCCCCCAATTACCTGACGTTCAGGGATACAGAAACAGTTTATAAAAAATATCATAATTATTGAAGGTTAGATATGTTCGAGGATTAAGAAAATCATAGCGTAACTATGACTCCTTAACAAAGGATACTTTCAGCAGTAACTATTTATATCTCTTGTATCATCATCATCAGTTCAGCCTATAGAGTCCACTCCTGCAAATACCACCTGTATCCATCGACTTTCACATTTGCACAAGTCGTCACTTATTCCATTGGAGGTCGTCCGTCACTACGATGGCTAGTACGAGGCTGCCACTCAAAAAACTTTCTACATGAATCATGCAACCATTATATATGCTTTATATGTTGTACTAGCGACCCGCCCCGGCTACGCACGGGTGCAATGTATTATACATATAAACTTTCCACTTGATCCGTGATCCGTTTGAGATCCGTTTCATAGTTTTAAAGATCTAAGCATGCATAGGGACAGACATATAGTGGGGCGACTTTGTTTTATACTATGTAATCATTACAGATAAATATTTTGTGAATAGCGTGTTGTTTTATGTTGTTCGTTTGCGTGGCGATGGCGTTCTTTCATTGTAAGCGGTCGCAAAAAAAAAATCTCTTGTGTTTAACGCGGAATCGCGTTCAGAGGTATACACGAATAGCCCAATTTAATTACCGAACTGCGATATTTTTACCGTCCATACCCAAAGGCCTTTTACATGGCCATTGATCGATACGAACAATACTAAAATCCATCGCTCACGGTTATACGTTGTTGTGTTGACGTTTATTTGTTCCCGTAAAAAAATCAAAAAGATCGCTTCACGAGGCAGCGTTGCACGAACGCCCTAAAAGTTACGAGCACTCACATTTTATGCCACTGTAAAACGAGAATAACGGACTAAAGCTTACGTTGGTCGCGGCATGTGTCCTTTTCCTATTTAAAATTCGTCAAGCAGTTCAACGGAAAAATGCATTGAATCAAAAATAGGACGCCTCACGTTAATTTTGTATCAATGTTAATTAATTTGAGCCATTATATTGAAATAAGTTATAATACAACTGGTTGTATTGACCTTAATGGTTGTTCATACAACAATGCAGTGTCTAGTTCGAGTGCACTACTCATAAGTTTTATTAAAAGTGAAGTGGAAATTATTCATTGTACATAATTAGGCCAAATCATAACTATGTTTATTCAATAATTGAGGAAAATCGAGGATCAGAATTAAATTTCTTATACCTCAGAAATCTTATAGGATAAGTACAATCTTACTTATGAACTTACTGGCTGCTGCCCGCGACTACGTCTGCGTAGAATAGGCTGAAGGCGTAACATTCAGACTGAAAGACAGATATACATAAAATATGTATATAAATTATATATACTATGTCTTACTCTGATGTATAAGCTACATTATTGTAAAGTTTCATTAAAATCCATTCAGTAGTATTTGCGTGAAAGAGTAACAAACATATGGATGTTTATTATACCATACATACAAACTTTCGCCTTTATAATACTAGTGAGGATGTTTCTCAGGTGATATCGATCACACGACTAGTCTCATTCATTTATATCTCACTCTCTCTTTTTATTAAGTAGTAGTTTATCTATAATGTATATAAATATGTATAAACAGTTATACATTACAGACGAATTGCTAAATGTATTGTTAATGTCCTAAGAAAATTAAATGTAAATCCTTAAAACATTGAATCCCCGACTTTTTTATATCAGACGAGGAAAAGCTTACATTATATATCTTCTGAGATGAACATTTTTATTAAGACCGTAAATTGGCAGGTTCCGGATTACAAACTATCAAGTAATTGGATGCAAATTTGAATGGGGATTGACACCGTATAGTTTAGAGAATTTTGACGACATTTTAGTTTAACGTTTAAAATTAAGCGCCTTGACATTCCAAGGCTTATAAAATTAGCAATTATTATAGTTTATGAGCAAAATCAATAGATACTGGTATATCGATTAAATTCTCTATTAATAAAGAGTTACTGGTATAACAATTAATTTTTCGCTTTTTGTCATAAATATAGTTATATCCATTACACACGATTTAATTTAAGGTTTTTGCTGATAACTAAGCAAGGAAAGATTTATTCTGCGCAGTTTTACACCGTTCTTTGACTTAAGTTTCCATAAATTCAAAACTGTGTTGCCCGTATACAGGCTAACGTATACATGCCGAATACATTAGCTTTGTTCAGGCCATTGTTCAGGTCTATTCGCGATCTGTAGTCACGCGATTATTAAAATCATGTATGAAATCAGTAGACACCAGGCCGTAACGTAATCAAGCCGTATTTGCTTGTTACTAACCCGTACGGATGTTATTCAATTTCCTAGCTACGAACCGTTCCGTAGGTCGAGTGCCACAATCCAATTCCGTACGCTATCGGATAATCGCCGTCCATCCAATTGGTGAATGGCCGCTTCCTATAAAAGGGATCGTGCCTCCTGACGGGCGGCAATATCCGTTCGCGGCCTGACGCGACGGATCTATTCCACCCCGCTGGTGAAGAGCAAGCGAGTGGGGTTCCAACAACCCAATTCCTTCACCCTGCGCTAACAACGACGTGTGGAGAAGAGAGCATAAAGCCGCCGTCAGCCATAGCTCGTGGAGTTCCTGTTACGATTTACTTACCATTTTACGTCTATTTCAGATTGGATAATTTCAATTGTAATCAAAGGCAAAAACTAAATAAAATCACTCTAAATACTATACCAACTTCAAACTCTTGTTGAAAGCTTTCGGAAGATCTGATTTTATTTCTACAAATTAAACGGGGGCTTTCGAATGTGAAATTAGACTTTTATTGAGATTGTTAAAGTTATATTAAGAAATTAAAGCGAAAACATTTTGGGCGCAAAAGAATTTCGCTTCGGCACGCAGATGCCAATTCGTGACTCACAATTCTAAGTACACAAAACGTAACGTGAAAACGGACATCTTCCTCGTCATTACAGAATTCTCACAGATTTTGTTACGACGCTTGTTGAAATTCGAACAATTTCAATTATGAATCGTCTAAGCGTCGTCGGCCTTGACATAAATCGTAATAATAAATAATGATATAATTATTTTTACCGTACAGATATTATAAACATTTCACCGTGCCCATCGGCCCTATCGTAACTCACACTCGGTTATTTTCGTATGAAGACCTTTAACACGGCGCAACTTTGGTCGGGACGTGGCGCGAGCGTGACGGGAGAAAAATCTCCGTCCGACGACGGTACGACCAAAAAACTGACGGACGACACAAGGTTGTACGACCATAAAATGGCCGTAACGCCGAGGCGATGTACACCGTACTTACTGTGCAAGACGCTGTCGGTTTCCACTGGCTTCGGGCACAATTCACTGTCAGTGGGTCAACGGTATGAGAGCTGAAGAAGTCACTGGCGTGTATAATTAGAGCTCCGCGTTTGCAGCGCGTTGTCGCTGTGCGAGCGGCGGGCGGCAACTAGGGCGTCCCGCTGGCGCCTTCCCCGCCCCTCCTTATCACGGGAATAAAATTCATTTAATGGATAATCGTCTCCGCGGCGGGCGGCTCATTGAAATTTTGCATTTCGCGCCTGCTTTATTGTTGCCTCGCACTTTATTGCAACGTCATTCGTGACGTAGATTGATCTGATCTATATTAGAGAATTGCTGCCCAGACACACTTCGTTCTTTTTTATAGCGTTAAAACCTTCCGTGGACCTTAAGGAACATATAAAAAAGTAAATCAGCCGAATAGGTCCAGCGATTCGTGAGTTATGCGCTTACCAACAGTATTTTTTATTGATTATTTTATTATATTTTTAATATCATATTATTTATTACGATTAATGGGAAATTAAAATTGGATTTGATTTGGTAGCTCGATACGAACTGATAACAGTTCTAGTTGAACTTGCATCTGTTTTCGGGAAGATTTGAATCATTACATTGACACTAACACGCGTGTAGGTTATATGAGTTCATGAAATAATTTAAAAATATACAATAATTGTTAAGAGAAAACTATTTTACAATGTTTAATTTAGTTTACACGCGACATTAGACTCCGTCAAGTTTGAAGTGTCGGCAATAAAAGGCGATAAATTGCCTATAATAAATTTATTTAACAACGTGGATGGTTTATGTTAATACCAGAAATCAATAATGTACAATAAGCTCTCCGAATAACGTTAGAACATGCGAAATATTTATTGAAATTGGATAATGGTAACTTAAATTCTCTTTGAGCATTCAGTCTTTGGGTAAATTCAAAATCAATAGAGCTAAAGTCGAGACTCTATTAGCGACATTCAAATAAATTTCTTCGCAGAATTAAATTTTACGTATTTCACTTGATGATATTATATTCTATATACTTACATATATTAGAAATCAAAATTCTAATAAAAGTTTTTATACCTTAAGGATTGAAATACGTTGTGTTTAAAATATTTTTTTGCGTTGCTCTCTGCTAATTACTTTTATGTCTCTGGTTGTGTTGTCTATGTTTTATCTAAACATGTTTTGTCTAACATAGATATGTTTTTAACTTTAATATATTTTATCTGAAGTTGCAAAAATATTTATTCATATGTTTTTAAAGAAAATGTATATTGGTGTCATCATCATTGATTGACATGATTTTGTCCAGACTTTAAGCGTAACTTATGACTAAAACTAACTTTAACTCTTTTACAGAACGTAACAGTATAACACATTATTGAATTTGTAGAAAAAATTTTATATAATAAGCCTATATATATATATATATATGTATAATATAATACTGATATATAAGTGTAAGACATGCTCAACTCTGACGCATTAAACGCTGTAAGACGCAAATGGTGCTAGTATTTTATTACTGCACCAATTTATCATATTTTTTCCGTTATTAAGACAAATCCATTAATAATGAGCGGGCACATGATATTCATGGAGGTTAATCAGGAGCGACGTTGACAAATAGCTGCTAGAAATTTCAAATCGGGCGGTAGGATATGATCACCTTAACTTCAACTTTGACCTTTTCATGATGATACGGGACCTAAACGATAACATGATACTATTATCATTATTAATTACGAGAACAACGCATCTGAAACACATAAATATGTAATTGCTATATATATACATATAGGAAAGTTAGGGACAAAGAGGGGATTTTTCGCATCTGGGTGTTTCACCACGTGAAATTTAGGTTTGTAAAACTTCCTTAAAAACAGTATACTTTGCTATCCTGAAGTAAAGGTAATGTTTAAAAGAAATGCCAATTTGACCGGTTATTAAAATACTTTTTAGCAATGACTGGTAGCTGAAATAACTAAACATTTAAGAGTAGTAGTATTTCTTGTGTCTTTAAAAGGGCGAATGCAACGGTAAACAAATCTGCTTAATTAATGAGCATCGAAACGTTGTCTGGGTTTTTGAACTCGACGCGACCGTAAGTTACATGTTTTACATTTCTTCACGCATTAGAAAATATAATTTCGTCCTGAACTTTAATTTTATTATAATCTACCACTTCATTTAATAAACATACTCCTAAGCCTTTCCAATAAGCTTATTGATTTATTTAAAAGGGCTTTACATCATTAGGGGAATAAAGTTTTACAAACTGAAGCTTCATCATGACACTTGATGTCATCCATCAATCAGTTTAATAGATTGTCTCAATGATATTATATTCATATAAGAGGTAGATATGATGATAGATGATATGTAGATATGATAGATGAGGCACTCAAATTCCACCAATTGGTGTAATTTGATTGCAATTCTTTAGACTGCTATCTCTTTCCGTATCATAAGTTCTAAATCATCTATCACATTCACTTATATATGTCATATAATGTAAAGAAGAAAATTTTTAAACGCGACGCAGTATGGGCATGCGTTTATATTATTAAACAGCATTGGGATTGTCTGTTCAAAAACGGCCTTCTTTGACTAGTAGATCGCCTGAATTACAGACGAAATATTGACAAAGAGAGTCACCGAATAGAGCCGAAACGGAATAAGGAAAAAAAGGTTACTAAAGTTCGCTAGATTAATGTATTCTAAAGAATAACTGGTAGAGACTAAATGCTAAAAGTGCAAAACATACAAAAATTAAAACAAGTTGTAGTAGCCCCCAACGACAGCGGGTCTTAAACAACATACATATTGCGTAAAAATATAAAGGCATGATTAAAATATATTTATTCTACTATTTCTACGTCGAGAGTAGTTAAAAGTCGTTAGTCGTTTACAAATATTTTTTATCGATAGAGCAATTTAACCTTAGCCATAATTAATAAGTGAAATTAGTGAGAAAAACAAATTTAATCTTAAAACTTTACTCTAAGTAAATCCTAAAACTTTAATAAAATTCATCATCAATCTGTGTAGGCATGTTTGCAGTAAACAAATATTTCAAAAGTAAATTTCTCTATTAATCGATATAAAATATGATCGATTTTATAACGATTATCAAATTGATTAGGAAATTTTTCAATGCTTTGTCTTTAATTTAACTAAAATATAAAAATTATATATTTTATAACCTAATTTAACTAAACATTTAGTTCAACTTTTATTTATCTTAAACTGATTGCTCATTTAAAAAAAAAACATTCGGTGTAAGTTTATATTTGGTGACTTCCCCCCTCGTGACTTGTCTTGGTAGCTCTATTATATATAAAAATGTATATCTGATGACAACAAATAAAATTGTTGCTCGGTAGAATACTACAAAAGTAAATATTTCGACGTGACTAAGATGTGTAGCCGTGAAATTATGTACAGCTTTATTAAGATTAAAATTAAATTAATTGAAAAGATTTTCAATCGAATCTTTGGAATAGATTTTAAAAGCTTCATAAAAAAGTGTGTTGTACAAAAAGTTTCGACACATTTGCTTTAAACGTATTCTAAAGGCATATAACGTGTTTTGGAGATTTGGATATAAAAGTAGAATACGATAATTATTTGATATTCAGATTTTTGTTCGATTTTTCACAATCTCAGTCAAAAGCTGGGATTACCTTTTGAAATAAGCTTTGGATACTCATTGTTCCGAATGCGTTTCAAAGTAATGTTTAAACAGAACTACATTCACCCTGATGAGTAGCTTAATAATTATGTCGCCCCTCTATGTCTCGATCGCTCAAGATCTGCCAGGTGAATCCTTTCTCTACATCAAGCAAGCAACCTGGAGTCTATGATCTAGAAGCACTATCCTAGCAAGAACGTTGTGGTCCAAGTTCCTTGATGATTTTTAGGACGAACTTTAATTGTGGTACAGCCACGCAGCGGCTATCGTACGAATGGGCAGGCTTCGGCATCGGGGGTCGTGGGTTCGATTCCCACACGGGATAACTATATTTGCGACCCATAGATAGTTGTTTCGGATCCGGGTGTTTGTCTAAGTGAAATTTATGTTTGAAAAACGTCCTTCAACACAGGTTAATGTTATCCTAAAGTAAGGGCAATGTTTAAAGAAAAAAAAAGAAACCGTCTGTTTCTTTGCAACTTATTAACAGGAAAAAAACCGAAGCTACGTGCACTGAACCTATCCGATGGTTTATACCACTCTGGAAAATTAGTTCACCTTGAAAAAAATTCTTAACTAATGAATATTAAGTCGTATCTCTAAGCTTTTGAAATCGTCTCCAACTGCAACTTTACTTGTTCTACAAGAATTTATATTCTACATTTCTTTTATTTTGTCACAAATATTGGAATATTATGTATTATGTATGATACATGTGACATATGTATAAAATAATTTTAAATAAATAATGTTTATTATCATATCTTATACAAAATTTGTTTCAGTAATACGAGTAATGTATGTACAATGTGTATGTTATCAACACTGTGGTGATGAGCTTTTCGGCGGATGTGGTGACTTTAAACTTCTTTGGTGTTACTGTTCCTTTTTTATGCCACTGCCATGAACTCTCGCTTGCTCTCAGGACCATAGGGATAAGTACATAATCCATCACCGGTAACGATTTATTAGTGACACTAACCGGCCCACCTTTCCTCCCCAACCCCTAAAAACTTGTATTCAAAACAGCTACTGATTTCGTTCGTGTATGTAATTGTGTTTTTATTTAAGAATAAATTTTATTTATAATATAAAGTTATCTCTAACATTATAAAACCCTAATGATGACTCACTAACACCGAAGCTGTGCTGTTGCGACTATCTTATATATAAAAATGGATTGATGTTCGTTAGTCTCCCTAAAACTCGAGGACGGCTGGACCGATGTGGCTAATTTTGGTTTCGGAATTTTTGGGGCCAGGGAAGGTTTAAATGATGAGAAATTATGGAAAAATTGCATGGAAAATAGAAATAGCAGCAATTTTATTTTCCCATACAAACTGTTCCTACCTGTCAAACATTGTATGGGCCCATTCCGAATCATTTATATGGCAGAACATCGTTTGCTGGGTCAGCTAGTAAACAATAAATGTATCGCATAGACGAGATATAGCTATTTATAGCATGATATAGCTTATATAAAAGAAAATTTTCA